GGGAAGGGAAGGAAAGGAAGAGTAAAGGAATCCACAGTGGAACTGCCTACAAAAAAGAGGAATACTGGGAGGCCAGCCCAGTGGCGTTGTGGTCAAGGTCACATGCTCTGCTTCAGTGGCCTGGGGTTCATGGGTTCAGATCCCTGGCATGGACATACACACCCCTCATTAATCCACGCTGTGGCGGCGTCCCACATATAAAGTAGATGGAGATTGGCACGGATGTTAGCTCAGGGACAATCTTCCTCACCAAACAAAAAAGGAATACTGGGAGAAGTAAAATGGGACTAGGGGAGAAAATTCACAGGAGAGGAACAAAGAAAGAGATCTAGATAGTAAGGGTTGGTTATGCTGTACGATTTTGACTCCTGTAAAAAAACTTTCTTACATGCATTGCAGGCAGAGAGAATGGTAAGTGCAAAGAGAACCTTTTGCACCACCACACAGCTACTGTTTTCTTTGTTGTTATGGAGGTTTTTGTTTTGCTTTGCAGGGAAAGATTCACCCTGAACTAACAAGTATTGTCAATCTTCCTCTTTTTTTTTTTCCTCCCCAAAGCCCCAACACGTAGTTGTATATTCTAGTTGTAAGTTGTTCTAGTTCTTTGATGTGAGCTGCATGGCTACTGACAAATGAGCGGTGTGGTTCTGTGCCCAGGAACCGAACCTGGGCTGCCAAAGTGGTGAGCACACCAAACTTTAACCACTAGCCCATCAGGGCTGGCTCAATTTGTGGTTTTATTTTCAGTGTGTGTTGGGGGTGGTGGTCCCTGCCTGTTACTCTAGGAGGAAGGCTGGGTTTTCTCCTCCTGGCTGCAACTACTGCATTGTCCTAGTGTTGCCAGTGGGAATCATCTAGATGTGAGCACCATGCATGGAGGCTCCACAGCCTGTTCTAGGACTTTAGGCCAAGAGGCCAGAAAGAGAGTGAAGGAATGATCACCACACTGTAGCAATGAACTCTTCTCAAGTTATCCCGGTGAGTAGTGAGAGGGTTTAAGCCTGACCGTGTAGCTCTGGGTAGTTGGGATGGCCTTTGGCAAATATTATATGATTCAACAGAAACCAAGAATAGAGAGGTGAACATTCCCAGAGTCTGGATGGGAGGAACAGGAAACTCTTTAAGGATCATTTTTCTGGTACATGACTTTTAGTGTCTTTTGTTAGTGTAGCTTTGTTTAAACATGAACAAGTTGAGTCCTCCACAACACTCATGCGGTGACAACAAGTTAGACAAAGAATGTACTCCACCCCAGTTTGTTTTTATCCAGAAAAAGATGGAAGCCCTGGCATTGCTGCAACCTGGAGACCTGAGACCAGGGTGACTTGTACAATCAGCAGCACATACTTTTGAAACACAACTCAACCAGTCTGTGTAGATTTCTTTCTAGCTATATGTTTGGGCAATTCCCCTTGTCCTTCTCAACCATAACCCTTTCCAGCCCCAATACTTCCAGAATCCATAGCCAGTGGGGGTTCAGCAAAGGAAGCTTGGCTTCCATCCAGCTCCCCATCCAATGAAGTTTGTGATAAAAGAGGCAGGATTCTATCTTCTTCCTGGAATGTACGCATGGAGTAGTCTCCCTCCTGTGAACAAGTAAAGGAAAAAGTATCTATACTTTTCAACTTATAGAAAAACAATGGTGTGTGTCTGTCACATTCAAAATCATGGTTCGTGTGTTATTCTGCAAGGAACTACATCAAACAAATTAATCATAGATAAATCTAAACTTAGCAATTTATCCCCATCTGCATAAACACCTGAATCATGTTAGCAATATTCATTCAGATGACTCAAGATTTTGTCTTTATTGATCTAGCTAAACTATTAGCTGAAATGCCCCAATCCGATCCGCAGAAACATACTCCCATATTTGAAAAAGAAAAGGCTTTGAAGAGATTAGAGTCACATTATCTTTCATTTTACCAGTTAATGCCAAATGAAGAAAAGAACTGTTTCAGCCAAATTAACCCCTTATTGTTGCACTTAAACTATTGTTATACATTAATCCTCACACTAAGGCAGACACACATGAAAATTCAGGATTGCATCACAGGAGTCCGTTAAGACAGGTCACTTTTGTTCTATAAAAGGCACCAGGTGCCATGTCTCACATATCAATTTACATTTATGGAGTGCCTACTGGGTGTCTGTACTATGCTGAGAGATGGAGACACAAAGGTGAGTGAGTAAGATGTGCTTTCCTCCTTACAAAGGGACATTAGTACAGTGAGGTAAGTCCTGGAATGGCAGGGTCACAGGGTGCCATCTATAAATTGCCCCCAAGTACTAGGACTCTTAAGTTACCCCAACTTTCCAACTCCTCTGTAGCCTCTTGCCGAGGACAGCATGGTCCACCAGAGAAGCCTCCAACAAAACAAAATGGTTGACACAAGCATTTATTTACAGAAGTAAGTGAGGGGTCCAGATGGAGGGGAATTAGCTTGTCACTGCTAGAGGGAGGTAAAGAGGGTGAGTTGGCTCTTGGAGCAGATGCTTTGGGGAGAAGATCCAGAAAATTTTTGTTGAATCTATCAAGGGTTTTTATTTTTCCTTGCATTTCCAGAAAAACAAGCTTAATGTCATGTTTTATAATCCAAATTCATTTGACATCTTTTTCTGAAACTGAATTAAAAACACTCATTTTGGAAAAAAAGAAAATGACTCCTAAAGAACTTTGCTTGCCCAAGGATGAGACACCTTCTTGGCAGCAACTTACCATAGTTTCCTCAAAAAAAAATCCTGAAAAGCTGCACCCAAAACAAAATCAACTCACAAAAATAAGTTGCGTTTTCTACTGTAATAATGAACTAACAGAGAACTCAAGAATACAATCCCATTTACAATTACAACAAAAAGAATAAAATATGTAGGAATAAATTTAATGAAGAAGGTGAAAGACCTATACAATGAAAACTAGAAGACATTATTGAAAGAAATCAATGATGACGTAAAGAAATGGAAAGATATTCCATGAACATGGATTGGAAGAATAAACGTAATTAAACTGCCCATACTACCTAAAGCAATGTTCAGATTCAGTGCAATCCCAATGATGTTCTTCACAGAAATAGAGCAAAGAATCTTAAAATTCATATGGGGCAACAAAAGACCCCTAATAGTTAAAGCAATCCTGAGAAAAAAGAAGAAAGCTAGAGGCATCACAATCCCTGACTTTGAAATACACTAAAAAGCTAAAGTAATCAAAACAGCACAGTACTGGTACCAAAAGACACACAGATCAATGGAATTGAAAGCCCAGAAATAAAACCACCCATCTACAGAAAGCTAATCTTTGACAAAGGAGGTAAGAATATACAATGGAGACAGGAAAAGTCTCCTCAATAGGTGGTGTTGGGAAAACTGGACAGCCACATGCAAAAGAATGAAGATAGACCATTATCTTGTGCCATACACAAAAATTAACTCAAAATCGATCAGTCTTGAAGGTAAGATGTGAAACCATAAAACTCCTAGAAGAAAATATAGGTAGAATGTTGCAGGAGATCATAGCAATATTCTTGCTAGGCTTTAAGCTTGGGAAAAATAAGTTACAAATGGGTGGCTGAGAATTATGTGATCTGCTGATTCTCATGAATTACTATACCAGATTGTTTGTGCTTTGGAATCAAGGGCTGGAGGGGAGTATTTTATCGAGCATGAAGGCAAGGGGCTTAGGAATGCCGGACCCTTGCAGGAACGGAACGCCGTCTGCATAACTTGCTGATTTTTCCTAGGATACTCCCTAAGGGAATGGCCTTGGATAGGGCTGGGGTACGTCACGGAGGGAGGAAGACTAGAACTGCTGAGCTTTGACTTGCATATCCCTGCTGGCATGAGTTCTTCCTATGCTTGTATTTCCTTGCCTATAAATAAATACGTGGCGATCAGAGGGACTTCACCTCAGTCCTTGAGCCTGATGGTCCCCTGTCCCATTGAATAATATAGATTGTGTCTATTATATAGGTTGTATTCTGTCTATTAATTCCATCCGCCCCTTCAGCTGGCTGCCTAGCTGGTCTCGGCAGCAGTAGTACACTCTTTGACATTGGTCTTAGAAGGATCTTTCCAAATACCATATCTACTTGGGCAAGGGAAACAAAAAATAAACAAATGAGACCTCATCTGACTAAAGAGCTTTTGCAAGGCAAAGGAAACCATGAACAAAATGACAACTCACCAACTGGGAGAAAATATTTTCAAATCAAATATCCAAAAAGGGGTTAATCTCCAAAATAAATAAAGAACTCATACAACTCAAAAACAAAAAAAACAACCTGATCAAAAAGTGGGCAGAAGATATGAACAGACAATTTTCCAAAGAAGATAGAAGTATGGCCAACAGGCATGTGAAAAGATGTTCAACATCACTAATCATCAGGGAAATGCAAATCAAAACTACAATGAGATATCACCTTACACCCGTTAGAATAGCTATAATTACCAAGACAAAAAACAGCAAATATTGGAGAGGGTGTGGAGAAAAGGAAACCCTCATACACTGCTGATGGGAATGCAAACTAGTGCAGTCACTGGAAAACAGTATGGAGATTTCTCAAAAAATTAAAAATAGAAATACCATATGTTCCATCTATCCCACTACCGTGTATTTATCCAAAGAACTTGAAATCCACAATTCAAAGAGACTTATGCACCCCTATGTTCATTGCAGCATTATTCACAACAGCCAAGACGTGGAAGCAACCCAAGTGCCTAATGACTGATGAATGGATAAAGATGTGGTATACATATACAATGGAATACTACTCAGCCATAAAAAAAGACAAAATCGTCCCACTTGGAATAACACGGATGGAACTTGAGGGTATTATATTAAGCGAAATAAGCCAGATGGAGTAAGACAAACACTGTAGGATTTCACTCATATGTGGGAGATAAACAAATATATGGACAAAGAGAATAGATTAGTGGTTACCAGATAGGAAGGGCATAAGGGGTAAAGGGGCACATATATATGGTGACTGACAAATAATAATGTACACCTGAAACTTCACAATGTTATGAACTATTATGACATCAATTAAAAAAAAGAAAAGCCACACCCAATCTGTTTCACTGTCCATCCCATCTTGCTGACAAGAGCTTACTGATCCTCAAATGGAGAAAGGATTGTGAGGGTCACACTGGTCCTCACTCCCTCAAAGTGAGTCTCATTCCCCAATCTCTCCTGCCAGTTCATTTCCATCTCCCAGTCTTGTGGCCTTTGGGTTTCTTGTGTAAAGTATGTTCTTTCCATGACTCATCTTCTCCATGGCTGACTGTAAGTCAGATCCAGTCTCCTGGAGCTTTCTGTCCTTCTCACAGGATGACTGTCTTGCCTGTGAGAAGCACTCTTCTTTGAACTCTGAAGAATTTTTAACTGAGGGCCACGTTATTTCGTCTACCTATTCTCATCAATGTTTCCATATGGATCCCCAAGCCAGAAGACACTCATCCCTTACTTTCTAAAATTATTATTTTTTTCTTTTTACTAATCCACGTTGAAACAGTGTTGGCAAAGTCCTCAGTCTTGCTCTGAGGATAGCTGGCCAAACTGCTGCTCCACAAACAGTGGGATATTCAAAATTCACAACCATTGTTCAAAACTCTTTGTCCACTCTGATCCTTACCTTCAAGGATTCCCCCATATGAATGAACTACGTTAGCAAATGTAACTCTTAACATTCATGAGAAAGCATTCATGAGCTAATAGTTTCTAACCGCTAGCCAATAAGGAAATCATAAGGTGAGTTTATATATGAAAATTCTGATTTCACTTGCCAAAATGGGATAGCTCAAATGAAAAGAAAAAATGATGTTTTCAGTCTATTTCTCTAAAAGAGGTGTTTGGAGTGCTTTTTTACATTCTCCTCACCTGTTGGGGAAATAACGTAAATTTCGCAGGTTAGTTTCAGTGCCTGAGATGGTTGTAGCATTAAGATGCATTTGGCTGCAAATAACAGCAGGGCCTTAAGCAACAATAATGTTCAAGGTTCTCACCTAACAAGAAGTCTGGAGTAGGCAGTCCCAGCAGCACGATGATGTCATGAAGGACCCAGTCTCTTCTCTATCCTTATGTTCTGCCATCTTTTACCACCTCATGGCTACTACACTTCAAGTACAAGTCCTCACAGGGCTGCATGCAAAGCAGGAAGGTAGGGGCTGGAGTGAAAAGCTTTCTCCTTGTGAAGTTCTGTGTTTTTTTTTCCAGGAAGAACAATTTCAGGAAGTGTCCTAGAAGACCTCTCCTTTGTCTCATGGGTGAGATATGGGCCACAGGCCTGCTCTTAGAACATTCACGGGCAAAGGGAAATGAGATAAACACAGTCACAATCCATTCCCTTGTGGACGCGTGGCGCCTGTCTTTCTTGACTTCAAGGGCTCTCTACCCAGCCCCCAAACAAAAAGGGGCTTTTTTCAGCCAGGAAGAAGAGGTATGTGAGTAGCTCGTGGGCAAAATGTGAGCAGTGACTGCCCTGTTGCTGGGGAAGTGATCAAGATTTTTAATATTCTCCCTGGTCTTGCTGCTTTATATGGTACTGAGAAATAGAAGCAGCATGGAGATTTATTTTATTTAGATTAGATTTATTTAACCATGTAGTCACCTGGTTAGGTCATAGGAGCCTTTTGAAAACATAGTGCTACCAGATTAATTGTTTTGAATCACTTCAAAGGGCTTTTGAGAGGCTTAGCTTGTCAGTTTCCCAGAGGCCCATGAGATTGCGTTTTCTTTCTGATATGATAGGACATCTGAGCAACTGAACATGAGACATTATGGGAACAATAAAATCATTGCTGTTAGTTTCAAGGAAGTACAGATACTCAGACTCAAATTGGACTTGGGGATTGACCAGTTGGCAACTGAAAGTTATGCTTTCAACTTATTATTGAACGTTCCTGAATTATTGATTTGGGGCACATGAAAAGCTCTTAACTTTTTTCCAAATTCACGATTTCGGAAAGTGGTCACATGAATTTTGATGTACGGAATGAACCGTGCTGTAAATTTCTGAGTCTCTCTTGGCATGCAAACCTTAATATGTCTGTATTCAATTTCAAGAGAAAATTATGAAGCTGAAATCAAATTACGTTCACCAAGAAAACTCAGTATTCCTGGAAGTTTAGAGGAGAGTCTGACCCGAATCCTAGGGAGATCCCGAAATTTCTAGCAAGGTGAGCAATATTTGACAGTTTACTCTTCAAGAAAGGAATAAGGATGAAGACAAGAACTACAATCAGTTCTACCAACTAGAATTGGAACCGTGAACTCTCCCCAAAAATGATATCCCAAACTCAGTTAATTAATACCTAGAGACACCAGGTCTCACCAGCCTGTGGATACAAATGAAGTCATGCTAATGTTAAATAATGCTTTGTTCCCTTTGTTGTCATACTCTTCTTTACACCCTAAAAGTTTCACTCAAATAGTTCTGGGAATTTCCAAAAAGGTACGTTACATGTACGTGCTCACACAGCTCTTTGCTAGCCACGCTCATCACACAGCGTCTATCTTGTCTTTCTTCTCCTGTTCTGACTCCACACTGCCTGCAAAATAACCCTAAAGGGCCTCTCTCTTGCCTCTGCTTATTGTAGCCATTTTGGGATCAGCAGTGCCTGTGCCAAGGAGACTATTTTTTAATGCATACCAAACTATCAGGTCTCCAGGCGAGGCTAGACTTTGGCTCAGTGAGAACAAATGCCTTACCATGACAAAGGTTTATTTCTCACTGACACAGAATCTAATAAAGAGCTGGGCAACCCTTTAGGGCAGCTATTTTCCATGTAGTAACTGAGTGATTTAGGCTGAGGAAGCTTTCATAGTCCTGTAGCTGTCCCATCAGGAGCAGGAAACCTCCCTGATTAATGCAGGAGGCTTAAAGAGACACTCACCAGATAGAGGACTTAATGGTTACTCGCTAGCTCTCCTCTGCTTCCAAGTGCAGGTGGTCAGAGCCATGGCTCCACTCAACTGGAAGAGGGCCCAAAGGTGCAGAGAGCTCTTTCATGTGTGTGAAAGGGGAGAAGAAGAGATTTTGGTGAACACTAGTAATATCTACGTTACAGATCACAGGTTTACAGGTTTACAGGTCAGTCCTGGGTTCTATGAAAAACTGGAAACAAGGGCCCTCTCTCCAGCTCTGTGCTCTGTTTTGTCACCTGATCTTGGAATCAGTACTGCCTATGCCCAGAGTCCCTAAAACTTTCTCATGAGTAAGCGCTAGTCCTAATTTCTCTTTCTAAAGGAGCTTCAACATCCTCCAAGAAGGGAGGTGAGGAGGGAATGCTGTGCCATCTCTCCCATTCTGACTCATTTTTTTTCTTTTTCATGACAAATTTACATATACCCCTTTTTTCCCAATCCTCCTTCAGACTGTCTGACTTGTTTACTGCTGTATCATAAAGTTAAAGCCCAGTACCTGGAACTCAGAAATGTGTTAATGAGTAGATTAACAGATGAGTGGATAAATGGATGGATGGATGGAATGGATAGATGGGTGGATGGATGGATGGATGAGTGGTTGGATGGATGGATGGACAGATGGATGGATGAATGGGTGGATGGGTGAATGACGGTTTCCTCTCTATCCACAGATGAAGCTCAAGGGGAGCCTGTTTCCATTTTCTGTTTATCCTCTGAACTTCTCCTGTCACCTTGATCCTAGCTGCAGTCCTTCTGTCTTGGATACCATTGTTGTCTCTTTTTGGGCTCCCTTTGGATTTGGACCTCGTTTAAGATTAATTATGGGAATGTCAGAATTTCAGTTTAGGGGTGAAATCCTACCATTCAGACTTTTTCAGGGATTTCTAATTGAAGAATGTGCACATGAGAACAATAACCAAATGGAAAATAAAATACCTTTTTATTAACTAATAAATAAGCACCCAATTGTCTCCCAGTACAGAGATCTTTGTTCAGCCAAATCAGATTATGCTGTTTAGGCCTGGAATCCTAAGGAAGTCTTCCATCACTCAGGAGTGATGGAAGGATCTGGAACAGACCAGATGCAATTTATACACAAATGTAGAACAGAGAATTGCCTGGCTCTGACCTAGTACACTGCACTAAGGGGACTGTAATTGCAAAAGGGGGAACATCAGCTTAGAGACTTGATATTCTAGTAAAACGTGCTTGGTAACTGCCCTGTGCTTTGAGCACTTGAGTAACTAATTCTTTCTCCCTCAGGAAGAAGCTAGCAAGAAGGGTAGAGGGTGTGGGAGCAGCAGAAATGCTCCTTCCCCTACAGTCCAAGACAGAAATGGGAGGAGAGCTGGCTGGGAGTTCTCCATCTCCTCCCCCTTACATGACTAGCTCTTCGCTCTTCAGCTTGAATGCCATCTTCACTCCCCCCTTGCCCTTCAGTCCTCTCCCCAGGGTCACACCCACTCCACTCCATGACAAACTGTCTCCAGAACTCCAGTCTAGGCCAGTCTTCTCACTCCACTACACCTGCTTACTAGAGAGGCAAGTTCAAATTCTAGGCTTATTACTGCACTTTTGTATAAAGTCCTTTTTTTAAAAAATGCAAAACTTCGTATCTGTTAACACTGGTTTATGGATAAACTTCTTTTTGCCTACAGATGGATTTCTGATCAAGTGGTCCATCATTGGCAATTCTTGGCAATCTGACCACAAGGAATGGCCTATAGCTAGATTCTGCAGCTGAGCCGGGATCTGCCTCTCCTTAACATATTTGGTATAAAATAACAAAAAGTCATCTAGAATAATGAAAAGAAATTTTGTGAACAAAAGGCCATGAAGTGTTGCCCATAATATAGACAGTGTGGGAAGAGAAACTTTGGTTGAGGCAAAATCAATATTCTCCTGCTAGCTTCTTTCTGTCAACCTCTCCCACTGTCTCCCAATTATATGCCATCATCTCCCCCATTCACCTTCCCTTCTACTGGCCTGAATAAGTGTGAATAGTCACTGTTTATGCCATAAATATCAGCCTATTTGGATATTTCTTTGTTAGTTAACAAAGATCTTCTTCGCTTCCCACTCATAGTGCTGTTTATCGAATAGTTCTGTCAACAAAATTTTAGAATAGATGGAGTGCAAAATGCTTCAAAACATTCTCGTTACTGCAGAAACTTTACAAGAAAAAAAACTGAAGTGGTTAAAAGACTTATAAGTAGTTTCATAGACACTCCACCACAGAAGATGGCCAATAAGCACAGAAAAAGATGCTCCAGACTATCAGTCATCAGGGAAAGGCAAATTGAAACCATAATGAGATACTACCACACTCCCTCTAGAATGGCTAAACTTTTTTAACTGACCATATCAAGTGTTGGTGAGAGTGTGGAACAACTAGACTCTCTTGCACTCCTGGTGGTAATGTAAAATGGTATAGCTACTTTGAAAAACAAGTAGGCATCTTCTTGGAAAGTTAAAAATACACCTATTGTTTGATGAGATCCAGCCATTCCACTTCTAGGTATTTATCCCAAGAAAAATGAAAACATATGTCTACAAGGAGACTTGTACATGGATATTTATAGAGCTTTCTTTGTAATAGTTAAAAACTGGAAACCACTCAAATGTCCATCAGCAACAAACGGATAAGCACCCTGAGGAATATCCATATAACGGAATACTACTCAGCAATGAAAAGGATGAATCTCAAAATAATTATACTGAGAGAAAGAAGCCAGACCAAAAAAAGAGTATGTATTGTATGATTCCATTTAAATAAAACTCTAGAAAATTCAAACTAATCCCTATGGTGACAGGAAGCCAATCAGTGTTGCTTGGAGGTGGGGTGGGGTAAGGTGGGGAGGAAGAGTTTATAAACATACATAAAGAAACATTTAGAAGTGATGGATATGTTCAATATCTTGATTGCAGTGATGACTTGGTTTCATGGATGTATACAACGTCAAAACATCAAATGTTGTACTTTACAAATGTGCAGTTTATTATAAGTCAATTATATCTTAATAAAGTTGTTATTTAAAAAAGACTTAATATAGTAGTTTTTGCACCAGCCAAAGATGAAAGAACTGGCTTGCCTCTTTTCATTAAGTTTCAAACTGCTCTCCGAAAGCTCTTTCTAGAGTGTAGGTCAGCAGGGAGGAGAGGTGAGTTGGCTGAGTTACCTACCACCCCACTGCGTTTTTACCTGTTAGTTTATAGTTTCTCTAAAGACTTACTTCAAAAAAGGCCAGGTTTAAGGGGGAACAAAAAGAAAAAAATGGAAAAGTCTTTAAAATCTGCTAGGTCGTCTGATCTCTAATGCCTACTAGCTATAACATTTTATGAATCTAAAGTTCTATAAATGAGTTTGGTAATATACTGTCTCTTTGATTGAAGATGACCTCATATTAAAAGACACACCATTATCTCTAGGTTTTAACCGCTTTTTAGGAGGAACAAAAGCAGTAGCAGTATATTAAAAGCATACATTATAAGATTCACTCCAGGTTCAAAAACATTAAAAAGTATGATTTAGAATCGTCACTGTAGCACGTGGTCCCAGGGTTGGAGCAAGGGATGTGCAGGGCCTGTCTCTGCAAACTCGAGGTGCCCAGATTGCGGTCTCAGCACCACAGCTAGCCTCAGGCACTGTCTCCTGAAAGAAGCAGCCATACACTAAAACCCCAAACTTCACACCTTGCACAGGTTTTTCTCTTTGCCCAGAATCTGTAGAAGCCCCAATACTAGGGTTGTATCCAGAATCCATCTCACCTTTTAAAAATGTAAATTGGTTTTCATTCACTCATTCATTCAACAAAAATTTATTGTCCACTTACTGTTCTAGGCTCTGGGAATAGAGCAAGAAACAAGACAGATGCGAGTCCCTGTCCTTATAGAGCTTATATTCTAGAAAGGGAAACAGATTTTTTAAAAGTATACAAATAAAATAATAATATGGTTTCAGAGGATCTAAGTGCTATAAGAAGAAACAAAGCTGTTTAAGAGTGTAGAAGCTGTGTGGGCTATTTCTGATAAGGTATCGTGAAGGCTTCTCTGAAGAACCAACATTTAAGTGGGGACAAAAATGATATGAATAAGCTATGTAAATATTTAGAGTATAGGATGCCAGGCACAAAGGACAGCACATTGCACAAGCTCCTGAGGTAGACATAAGCTTAGCTTGTTTAAAGAGCAACAAGAAGGTCAACGTGGCTGAAATACAATGGAGGGGGAGTGGTCAGAGATAAGGTAAGAGAAGGAGGCTCTCTTAGGCCACAGTAAGGAGCTGGCATTTTATTCCTAGCCTTATGGGAAACTATCAGAAATTTAAGAAGTTTCTGAACCATCCACTGAATCATCTGGGTATAATGTTGACGTCAGCATTCTTAACTAATCTCTTACAGACTCCCAGATTCCCTCTGTCACAAGTACAGAATACAAAGGTACAGAGAAAACTGTATTTGTGCTAGAACTCAAGGAAAAGGGCCAGTCACACACAACAGACGTAGGGGAATTTCTGCAAGATATGGTGCAGAAGGGACTGGTTTGAAAAATGGCCAATCCTACCTACTGCAACTCAGCCCTAAGAAGGAACAACTGACCAAGTGACCTGGATGCCAGCAGAACCCATCCATAGCCTCAGGGGTTGGGGCTGGAGATGAAGGTGTAGCAAGAGATGGTCAGGGGGTATATCTGGACCCAACCAACCACTCCAGGACAGTTTACCTGGCGCTGGAGGCACCCTATCTTACACCACTAACAAAAATTAACTGCAAATGGTTTAAAGACTTAAACGTAAAATCTGAGACCTTAAAACTCCTAGAAGAAAATCTAAAGAAAAAGCTCCTTGACATTGGTCTCATCGAGAGTCTTTTGGATGACACCAAAAGCACCGGAAACAAAAGCAAAAATAAACAAGTGGGATTACATCAAACTAAAAAGCTTCTACACAGCAAAGAAAACAATCAACAAAGTGAAAAGGCAACCTATGAAATGGAAGAAAATATTTGCAAGCCATATACTTGTTAAGAGGTTAAGATACAAAATATGTAAGGATTGCATACAACTCAATAGCAAAAACCAAATAATCCAATTTTAAAAATAAGCAGAAGACCTGAATAAACTTTTTTCCAAAGAAGACATACAAATGGCCAACAGGTACATGAAAAGGTGCTCAATATCACTAATCACCAGGGAAATGCAAATCAAAACCACAATGAGATATCACCTCACACCTGTTAGAATGGCTGTCATTAAAAAAACAAGAGATTGGGACCGGCCCAGTGGCCCAGCAGTTAAGTGCGCACATTCCTCTTCGGTGGCCTGGGGTTTGCCGGTTCGGATCCCGGGTGTGGACATGGCACCACTCGGCAAGCCATGCTGTGGTAGGCGTCCCACATATAAAGCAGAGGAAGATGGGCATGGATGTTACCTCAGGGCCAGTCTTCCTCAGCAAAAAGAGGAGGATTGGCAGCAGATGTTGGCTTAGGGCTAATCTTCCTCAAAAAACAAAAAAACGAAAAACCAAGAGATAGCAAGTGTTAGGGATATTGCGGAGAAAAGGGAAGTCTTGTTCACTGTTGGTGGAAATGTGAACTGGTACAACCACTGTGGAAAACAGTATGGAGGTTCCTTTAAAAATTAAAAACAAAACTGCCATATGATTCAGCTTTAGGGAACTGGAATTGGCCACCCCAAGATATGTCTCTTTGGCATGAGGATTATTTTGGGCTGGTTACTTTTAAAAACTGCAGACAGGAAAGAAACTCTGAAAAGTAGAATTTACTTATCCTTTGTTAAGAGACATTTACATTTGTAAAGGAAATCTCCGTCTGTAAAGGTGTCTTCCTCTCTGTACCAGGAAGAAGGAGGGATGACCTTATCTCTAGAAACTCTTATCAACATGGAAGGCAAGGACTGAAGTCTGCATAATAACCTGACTCTTGTTTACTGTGCTTGTGTGGTAATGTCCCATGATTGATGCCCTCCCACCCCCAACATACTCCTTTGTCTTTAGCTGAAGATGATATTTAAGGTGGTGGCTTCAGCCATTTTGGTGAGTTGCTCAGTTTGGCTGAGCATCTCCCATGTATACATGTTATAAAGCTTTGTTTAATTTTCTCCTGTTATTCTGTCTCACGTGAATTTAATTCATTCTCTGGCCAGAAGGACCCAGAGCAGGTAGAGGAAATGCCTTCTCCCCTACACAGCAATCCCACTTCTGGGTATACATCCAAAGGAATTGAAATCAGAATCTCAAAGAAATATTTCCACTCTCATATTCATTGCAGAATTATTCACAATAGCCAAGACATGGAAGTAATCTAAATGTCCATCGACAGATGAATGGATAAAGAAAATGTGGGGTATACATACAATTGAATATTATTCAGCCTTAAAAAAGAAGGAAATCTTGTCATTTGTGATAACATGGATGAACCTGGAGGACATTATGCTAAGTAAAATACTCTAGACACAGAAAGACAAATACTACATGACACCACTTATAAGAGGAATCTAAAATAGTCAAACTCATGGAACAGAGAGAATCGAATGGTGGTTTCCAGGGACTGGGGGGAGCAGGAAACTGAAAGGTATTAGCCAAATGAGATGCAGTTTCAGTTATGTAAGATTAATAAGTCCTTGAGATCTATTGTACAGCATAGGGCTGACAGTTAACAATAGTATATTGTATAATTTAAAATCTGCTAAAATCTTATGTTAAATCTTATGTGAAATCTTTGCTAAGATCTTTTGTTAAACATTATTATCACACACAAAAAGTAACAATAATGAAAGAGCTGGGGAGGAAACTTTTGGAGGTGATGACTGTGTTTTTGTCTTATATAGTGATGGTTTCATGGGTATATACTTATCTCTAAACTCATCCAGTGGTATGTATTAAATATGTATAGCTTTTGTATGTCAAAACATAAACAAATAAAAGCTAAATTAAACGGAAAAAAAATTGTCCATATTTCCCTTCATTTGGATGTCTCACAAATTTTGAGAGAGTCCATCTTCGCTTTCCGTGTGAGACGATCAGAGGCTATCTGAGGCCTCCTCATGTAAGAGTGTGCAAATGGAAACATTAATTCACTATAAAAATAAATGATGAAAAGAAGGGAATCAATCTAGGAACAAGAGAAATATCTTCCTATAAAATATAGTTGCTGCCACAAACAAATTTTAGAAAATTTCTAAGTCAAGTGTTTGCAAGATTCAAGAGGACCTTGAATCTACAAATCATGTAGTTGTGAAACAATGAAAAAATTAGTAAAAAGAATAAAATGAAAAGATCTAAATATACCTGTTGGTTGTAGTGATTTTGATAAGTATGTCTAGGTCCCAAAGTTCTGAACCCTGTCCTGCCAACTCCTTTCAATCCCTTGGCATAGGCCACTCCCTCAAGCACGTGTGCAAGCGACAAAGTAGGGCAAAATCATCCCCAAACCCTGCTGTCATCATCCGTGTGAGTCGGGTTAGACCGTGTGACTCGTGCCTAGATGTGGCATCCTCCTGCCTGGGGGACTTCAACTCTGGTTCTTGCTTAGTCGTCTAACTGGAGGAAGCAGTTTTTAAATGGGGGAGGACCCCAGAGTCCTCCTACAGTACCGGCTGCACGGGAGCCAAGAGAGAAGCAATTCAACAGGAAACATCTAAAAAGAGAGATCCCCCAAACCAAGAGGCATGGGAGCATTTATCGTAACCCAGTTCTACTTAAGCTGTCTTTATCCTTCAGACTAGATGTGCTAATTCTTTTCAGACCTCAGAGGAGAAAGCCTTCAGCACCCCTCAGAAGATGGAGCGTGTGGCCTGCACTTCCCCATCCTGTGCTCCTGTAGGCTTCACCGGGATCTGGAGATCCCCTCACCACCTTGAGCGTAAACACCTCTCTTACAGCACTTAGTGCATTGCATTATCTGCTACAGCTCCTCTTTCCCTTGCCTGTGTGAGCTGAAGGAAACCAGCATATGTCATCCCTAAAAGTGCCACTTTGGCATAAAGATTATTTTGAGTTAAAGGCACCCAAAACCCAGCATACGCTGGGGTTTTTTTTTTTTTTTTTTTTTTGTGAGGAAGATTGCCCCTGAGTTAACATCTGTTGCCAATCTTCCTCTTTTTACTTGAGGAAGATTGTTGCTGAGCTAACATATTCCTCTGCTTTGTATATGGGACACTGCAACAGCATGGCTTAAAGAGTGGTGTGTAGGTCTGTGCCCGGGATCCGAGCCGTGAACCTCAGGCTGTGTGCAGCTTAACCACTACACCACCGGCCAGTCAGTCCCCTGATCTTCCTTTTTATTCCTGAAAGACTGAGATGAAACTCCCATGTGAAAGATGTCCTCCCTACATGGGGAGGAAAGAAAAATTTTAATCACTAGAGACAGAAGATGAGGCTGAGAAACCTGTGCAAACAAATCTTGTTAAACTAATCTTTATCATCCTAGTCTCTTCTCCATCCTTAACTGCCCTAACCCAGTCCCTTTTAATTGTCACATTTTTACAATTTACTACTTTTGTCCAACTTAGTCTATAAGGGTTGGGCTCTGACTGCTTCTTTGGGTCTTTTTCCTGTGGGGCCTC